CATTAGCCAGTTAATTTTTGTAATGGAGAAGTGTTATGTTTTCGACATGAAAGGTTTAAAAGCCGAATTTAGTTTACACATGCTATTCAGCCATGCGCTGTAGATCTAGGGTACATGAAGTAGGTGACAAGACAATTGCATCAACTAATTAATACATTTATTTCGATGTAGTACATGTAATAAATATCACATAGGCCTAAATGATTTTTACAAAAACGTTTACTTTTATACAGATATTGTGAAAGACATCTAGTCGATTTATGGTTATCTGGAAATTGTTTTGAGGGATTTTTTACATGTGAATAATTAAACAGGCCACCATCATAAAAGTATTAAGAATGTTTTAAAATAAATTAAAGTTGTCCACAAATACCATACGTGTGCAGTTCACACTGAGAATTTTTCCCCCCACAATCTACATTATTTTTCGCAGACGTTGAAGTATTCGCAATATTAAGTATATGAATTTATTTTATAAATTACAATATTGTGAAATGCTCGCTGAGACAGCATTGTACAGTTTCATCATTGTGAGATACCAGGTTCTCGTGGCGGATATGAAGATGGCTGTTTTCTGGTTTGTTGCGCCGTGTAGTCAGGCAGAAGTTTATCGATGTGTCAAGCTCATCTCCCTGGTGATGGAGGCAGCAACAACCTCTGAAACGTCGGCAAACTTCTACCACCAGACTACACAATAACCTAGAAGAAAGCCATCCCTTAGTTTCACAACAACCTAGAAGAAAGCCATCCCTTAGTTTCTTCATTGTTCACGATGGCGGATGATATCTTCGGAACACTAGAAGAACTGCAGACACGTCTGCGGTGCGACGAAGAGGAATTCAGCTTCAGATCTGCGAAGACGAAAATAAATATTCCATAGAAGCTGTCTAATATTAGTTGCGATAATTGAAAACAATTATAAAACAATCGTAAAACAGAATTTATGAGACAAAATGGGCATTGACTGTGTTCTGGGATGTTTAGCCGTGTAGTCTCTTAGAAACCGACTGACGTTTCAGAGGTGCTGACTTCCACCTTTATCCTCACGGAGGCTACTTACTTTTAGTAGTAATTTTCGAAATCGCTGTAACCCCTGCTACCTGCACCTGCCCCAGCGTTGGCCTGGCTTTGAGAGAAGCTGGCGGTTAAGGGGCCAATCCCGAAACTGGCCGATTGGCTCTGACTGGATGCGAAGTTCTGGCTACCGGAAGCCCCATGAATACCGTATTCCCCACCAGTGCTTCCAGCTGATGCCTGGGCCTTTGTGAAAAAATATGAAAATTACTACAAGCCATTTACTTTAACTTTAACTTAAGCTTTGTGTGTTTACAAAGTCACCCAGTGCAACTCAGACAATGAAATGATTAACTGCGGGCTGGATGGCCAAAGTTCGATTTTTTCTCTAAGGTTTTGCGTCTGGAAGCCATCTGACCAAATTCATTATCATAGACGACAAGTTGCCTAATGGGATAATCTCCCACCAGTAGCAACAACCCCTAGTTTGAAAAAGTCAAGACCTTCCGCACAAAAATCCCGTAAGCGTAAGTACACACCTGTTATCGTTTTTAGGCACTGTTTACCATTTCCAGCAGGGGTAAATTGGCCGCATCGTGAAGCTACGTCACGAACATAACTCCAGCTGATGGCAAGGGATTTTCAATCCGAGTTTCAAAGGAACAAGGGACAGACCCTGGTTTCTGTTTCTCTAAAACTCTTTGACAATAATTTATTTAAAATTGTGTTGGGCATTGCCCATTTTCTGACGTTTGCTCCTGTCTTCAGGGCATCCTTACACTCATGACCGCTGACAGTGATATCGCAAATAAAAGAAAATATATGTAAACAATACCAACAACCGCTTACCTGTGCTAAGCTTCCAGAGAATCCATTACCGCCATTACCGCCATGGCCATGGTGATGCCCCTTCAGACCCAGGAGTCCCAGGATCGGAGACCGCCTGTCTCTTACAGTAGCTGTAGGAGACAAGTGTTTCACAGTTCAACCAATTTCAATTTATTCGTGTCAGTTAAAATCTGCTGTTGGAGAGCTACGCACGTTACATGTAAGTCATTACACATAATCATTCGTTTTTCCTTGTACTTCACGCCATATCGAAGAGATTCCCAAGGTCTTCGTGTCATGTAGGAATGTTATAGGACAATTCTTACGATAAGACTTTTTCAAAACGTTGTAAAATATTTGTTGCATTGCTGCCTGGTTTTCAAAACATTGTAAAATATTTGTTGCATTGCTGCCTTGCAGATTAAAATTAAATCAGTCCAACAACTTCTAGTGCACATCCAACTAACTACATGCATCAGAGTTTTTCTACAGAAAGTTAACAGCTACTCAGCTATTCCAAAATCCCCGCTGTTATGTGACCCGAATGTTCATTACAGAGTTCAAAAAAAGACCACCACTGGTTCGTATCCTGAGTCATACGAATCCAGTTCACACCCTCCTGCTTTACATCTCTAAGGTTGATCTTAATACTATCCTCCCATCTATTCGTGGGTGTTGCAAGAGGTCTCTTACCTTCAGTCCTTCAACCAAAATTCTGTACGAATTTCTTTCTCGTCTCCCCATACGTGCCAAATTTCCCACCTGTTTCGCCTATCTCGATTTCATCATCCTGTTACAAATTATGAAACTCCGAATTACGCAGTTCTCTTCAGCTCCCTGTAACTTCGACCCTATTTGTACCAAATATTCTCCGAATCACCCTGTTCTCAAACACCCTTGATCGGTGTTCTTCCCTTAATATGATCTATAAAGTTTCACACCCATAAAGATACACTAACAGATTCATCCCAATGTTTTGGGAATTCTTCCTTACTCCAAACAGAATTAATAAATTTGTGGACCTCAGAACTTCATGTATTACCACCTCTGTAGATTAGCTTTGCCAGAGTATGATCAATACCTATTAAACATTCTAAAAGCAAACTCAATCTCATTAAATCTAAGATCACATGCTAATGACTTATTTTATCGAAGTACGATGTGGCTGTGGAAATGAAAAGTAGAAATTGACAGCTACGCCACCATATTATGAGCTAATTTCATTAGCATGGTCAAATAGATAATAAAAACATGGAACTGAAGTATACGTGATACCCAAATATTTACCTACGTCTCCCGTTGGGTTAGCTGAGATCGTCATCACCAACAATGATGTAAAACAAAACGCTGACACAATTTTAGAAATCATGTTGAAGTGCAGGCAACTCAGATCTTCTACGGAAACGGAAAACCGTGGCGCAAACACTTCATACAACTAACTATCCTTTGAACACATTCAGGCTTTTTATACTCTTAGCGCAAGGTCGTCTTGTCATTTAAATGAGGAAGATAACTTCCGCGAAATATTGTAGGTGCGTTCTTGTGTATTTCCGGCATATCAGACAAACATTTTGGATGCTTTTAACATATCACGTTTGAGTAAATGATCCTTATATGAATGTAAGTCCGTCATATAATCATATTGTTAATACTGTTGTAAGTAAGGGTCAATTTTGTGGACACATGTGGGGGAATAGAAGTTTAGTCATGAGTGTAGGAAGATGTTAAGGTTCTCAGGTCATTTGATCAAGGGCGCACAGAATGTTGACCTTCTGGCCGCACTGGCGTGTCGCAAGCAGAGCTGGACTATTGAAAATCGAGAGTTTGAGAGTTTATGCACACTGAATATGCATTCGAATAGCCTCATTATCATCTTTTCCCGAAGTTAATATTTCCCTCAATTTTCAGAAATAAAACTGAAGAAAATCACATTGGCTATTCAAAATGTAGGTTCTTACAGGACGTTAAAAGTTTTTGAGTAAAGTCGACAATTATCGACGTATTAAATATTTTTAAATGTGTATAGTTATTACTGTTGGAACACAAAATAAGAACTTATTTATGTATCTTGACTGACAACTTCTGATAAAGTACCTAGTTTATCTCAACACGCACGAATTTAATATCTGCTCGTAGCAGTCAAATATAGTGTGTTCTTAATATGGACTCAGAGGAACTTTATTAACATTCTGTAAAACTGGACTGTGCCATATTAGAGATGGTTAGTCGCCACCTTCTCACAGCGGAGGTCCGGGTTCGTGTCGAGATCAATTCGTATGTGGTTTGTAGTTGATTTACAAGTGGCAGTGGGACAGGTTCCTTGCTGTCGGAGTCCTCCGGTTTCTCTCCACCGTTGCTCCATTTTCATTCTGGGGTATGGACTATCCGACCCTTAGCGGTCTCAGTTCCACGCATCGTGACGATAACAGAATATGAAAGACTTTTAATCCGCACAAAGAACTGGTTCATGACCTAAGAATAGCCTATGCGTCTGTAAGATCTACAACCATATTTTACGTTTTTTGAAGCAGTGAATATTTAACGCAACACATAATTTCTGATAGCTGTAATGGTTTGATTTGAAAAGTATTGATGACTGCGCGTTTCTGGGTTCGATCCCCGGTGAGCTGCCAAGGTGTGGAGGCAGACTATAATTTGTTACGGGACTCTTTGTTAAAGATTAAAGCAGGAAGTATGGCGCCACGTTACCGGCCTCAATGTTTGAAGGGCCACCTGCAAGCTGAAATTTGTAATTTAAAACAAGAACCGTGGCACAATAGTGGCGAGAGCTATTTGACGTTACCGGCCTCAATGTTTGAAGGGCCACCTGCAAGCTGAAATTTGTAATTTAAAACAAGAACCGTGGCACAATAGTGGCGAGAGCTATTTGATGTGATGCAGGGCTGATAGGACCAATCAGACCATTTGTTAAATTTTAGAAAGAAACGACCTTCAAAAGTAAATAAAGGGAAATCCGGCGACGCTGGGAATACCGAGGTCACTCTAGGCAAGGAAACACCAAAAATTGTTCTTGCACTTTGATTTGGTGAAAGTGGCTGTTAATTAACAAAATCAAATATTGTGTTGTTGTCTAATGAAGAATTTTATTTGTGAAATGCAACGTGAGACATTTACCATAAGTCAATATCCAAACCTCCTCGCTGGCATTCAGCTTATACTCCTCCACGCAATAATAAGTCCATGTTCACCTGATCTATGTTCCCCAATTAACCTCATAACCTCAACATAAACGAAGGCTACATCCCAGCTGGGCGACTAGTAGGTTGGAGACAGCGATGTTTGCAGTATGCTACAGATTCTTATCAGCAATAAATGAACATGGTGATCAGTAAGGTAGGGCCACTGGTTTTAAAAATGTAGACCTGTGCCAAATGGATGCTCTCGTTGCTCACAGGCTTCTTACTCAATAAGAAAGAGAAACAAGTAGGAAGAAATTTGTAACAAGAAAGGTTAATTTAAAACAGGTTATTGAATGCTAATATGATTTCAGTTTTAAATAAGCCGTCTGGGAGGAAAGTTCATATTGAAAGGATTATAATTTTAATGATCTTATGGAATACGTTTCCTTTAACACTTGTGAGTTGCTTACTTAATGAAAGAATTTCCTTCCCTTACAGAATTCAAAGATTCATAATGATAGCAAAACGTTGCCACTGAACCATATCCTGGACTATTTCAACTCTCCACAGCCAATTATTTAATATTCATTTTAATGTTATCTGATCTACATGTCTCCCAAGTAAATTCTGTGTGCATTTCTAATTTACCCCCTCAGTGCTACACGTTTCACCGATCCCACTCATATTGATTTAAACAAGAGCAAAGAATACAAGTTATGAGCTTCTTGTTATGTAATTTTCTTCCATGCTGTTGTCATTTCTCTCCTTTTGGTTCAAATATTTTGACACATTCAATTTATGCCACTCCCTCAGAAAGCAATACAAAGTTCCACTTTAAATATGACATCGAAAAATGAGATTCTGAACTTAATGGTAGCATGCACTTCCTGAATTTCATATGCTCTTAATTTTAACATGAACACCTTTTGGCTTTTTTATCGTAATATCGAAAAGTAATTATTTCTTTGGATCAGCATGTCTGGTTTTATACATATCGGCAGTGTGTGCTGCGCCTCACGGTCATTCAGGTTTCCTTCGTGAGGGTTGGCATTTGTCAGATCATATTTCCACAATTGCAACCCAGGAACCATAATGTAATGGGCAGCGCTGATTTATATAAAAAAGGCATAGTAGTGCTACAAGTAGTGTTTGTAGTGACAGTTCAATCATATCCCAACCATAAATGAAACCCTAGTATTCAAACCAGTAGACAATCTCTGTTTTGACTGAGCTATTCCAACTCAAAGAATAGCTGAGAAATATCAGACAGCACTCATAGCTCCAGGACTTTATGTGTGAATATTTCAGACGTATCACATTTGTATAAATATGGTTTAATTTCACAAGTTTCACATTGAAATAAAAATCTTCAATACAGTATTCTGTTACTTTGTTATTTGAGCCATGTTTTCTGTAGTTCTGCTTCCTCTTATTTAATCTTGAGTCTTGTTAACAACTGTAGACCTACATACAAAGAACAGTGTTATTTGTTATTTAATATTAAAAATATTTAATAACCTCAAATAGCAAGATATATATTTAAAAATGAAAGAAAACATTGAGGCAAAAGAAACACTGAATGGAAAACTTTGAGGCCAGTACAGGCATTAAGACGCTTAATTAGTGAAAAACAATAATGTATCAACTGCTGAAGTTATATGTGAGAGAGCATTCATGGTCTCGTTTAACTCATTAGTTGCTAGTGAACAATGTCGTGATCCCATTCACCCGATTATTGTGTAGACAACATATATATTTGGGAAATTTTATTCAAGTGTTTACACGTTTGATCTCTCACCTAAGGCCTACCTTGTACTGAAGGTCTAATCCAAAAGGTCTAATTTGTTTTGTGATGTCAGTTCAACAGTTGAGTACAAATAATCTCTGTGAGGAAAACTTAATCTGTATTACCTCTTTGAATGAAGATACATTGTCCATTGTGAATTTTTGAAAAAGTCTTGTATCGAACTCTTTTTCTGGTTGGTCTTCATAACAGCCTCCCTGATGTCTGGAGGAAGTTTCCCATACACCTATTATTATGCAGAAATGCTTGAAAATTCATCACATGCAGGCATCAAGATCATACAATTTAATATCAGATGCGAAGTCTAAATACATGGAAGAAATGTATTTCTCAATTGGAAATGCGTAAGGCAAGCAATGGTGGAGGGGGGGAGGGCAGAGAATAGGTAATCAGCTGTATTTTTGTGGCATTAGGAAATGTGGAGCAGGTGTTCAAGATGTTTAATTTACAAGGGAAATCATTTATGAAGGACCACATAAAAATTTAGTGGTGATAGGATGATTGATAATTTAATGTCTGGAATGATAAAATTATTTGAGGGAGAAGTTCTAGGGCAGACATACAGAGTTTGCATGTTCTGATTATTTAAGGAAAGATAGTCTTAAAAGATGAATTTCTTAAATGACTGTCCTAATTTAAATCAAACATTAGTATGTATATCAGATCATACCTTTTTTCCTTTGTAAGACTGTACCACTCCATATTTTTCACTACACTTCATGCTTATCTTGCTAAGGAGAAGTACAGGTAGATGTACTATTGGACAGTCCTGTGTCAGATCAACACTGCTTGAATTCCATTGTCTGTCATTATCATCTTCATCTGGTCTTTATAAATCATGCAATAAAAAAAAGACTGATAAAAATTTATAAATTATATAAATTCTATGGGTTTCATCCGAAGCTATAATGCATGCTTTCAAATCAAATATCACATTAATATTAATTCTTTCTTGTTCCTGTTCATTTTAATTTCAACATTTAGGTCCATCCTGTGAATACGACAGTTTAATGCTGGTGCTGGTGTTGAAAGAATTGACCCTGATGGTTTATTATCAATAATTTACTTTACGTATGGAAATGGGTTTGATTTCTCAACCAAAGTGTATAAGGATTAAGTATGTTTGAGAACATGGTTATGAGGAGAATATTAAGACCAGAAAGAGAGGAAGTAACAGTAGACCAGATATATTTTCACAACCAATCACTTCGTAGTTTATATCTGCACCAAATATTATCAGGGTGCCCAAATCGAGGATGAGCTCGATTGAGCATTTAGCATGCATGTGAGATATACATACAATTTTTTAGTGGAAAATCCTGAAGGGAAGACACCACTTGAGAGAGACAGTTTAGAGGACAATATTAAAGAAGATGTGTTGACCCTTCAGTTTCAGAATTAGTCACTTGCATCGCATACTTACAGATCATTGTCATTACCAAAGTTGCCAGTTTCTGTGAATATGTCTTGCACATTGAAAGTGGGAATATCATCAGTAAAGCCTGCAAGTGATATGTATTAAGTCATAAGAAAGAACTGTCGATCACTCCTACACAGAAATAAATAATTTTTGAAATGTATACTACTGACATTAGCATAAACCAATAGAAGATTTAACCCATTGTTCTACTGGTGAAATAGACACATAAATTAAGATTAAATTAATAAGTTGTATGCTTTAAATTAAGCTTTTAGTACAGAAAGGGAATAGCTTTAAAAATTAAAATGTTGTAAGTTATGCACATAATCCTACACTCATAACTTGATAATGCCTTACTTTACAGCATTTCTGTTTCTCAAATAAAGGTACATAAAAGAAGTTCAGAGTGGGAGAATGCAAAAATGCCATAGCAATTTGTTATGTAATGGCGAATCCCTTAAAGAATGAAAACCATCTAAAAATATTTAAAAGCTTGTATAAATAACATTTAAAAATGTGGTTCTTACCTGAAACAAAATACATACAACAAATACATTCAATTATCTTAAGGAAAATTTCTGATACCCATTCGTAGAAAAGAATAAAACTGATAAATAGGCTCTGAGCAATATGCACACTTATGAATGTAAAATCAGATGAAAGTTGGTATGTAAAATACATATAAGAGATATTGTGAGAGGTAATCTTTCATTCACTCCCACCATAGGGTTCCATACCACACCATAAAAATGTGATGTGCGCAACTAAAATTTCAACTCCAACAGATATGCATATGCTGCTAAATAATGTTAGTAATTTCTAGCAAATGTTAATGCAATTTTTGCACAAACTTGCATTAAATAATAAATTTTAAGTTATTTCCCACATGTTTATAAAAACATAGCTTCGTCCTTTCTGTACGAAACCTATAAATATGTAAAATGACGTAATAATTAACATACCTGTCAAGGGAAGCATTTGGCTACAACAGCTGTGATATTCCTTGTTGGCCATATCCTATAAGAAGCAACATAACTGAGCACTAATTTCCATTTAAAATTCCAGAAAAACTCTTTGTTTTGTTCCTTCAGGAATTCAGATTTATAATCTTCACAAAGTTTAATCTATGAGCATCCAGTGATTTGTGAACTCAGAAACATTTTCTTGTGTATAGGATGTTGTACTGTGTAGTCTGGTAAAAGTTTTAGAAATTGTAGAGGTGCTTACTGCTTCCATCATCATGGTGCAACGTCTCAGAAGACAGTCATTTAACACTTACTGCCTTAAAAACCTGAATTTTATCTAAATTTAAGAGTTAAAAAGCATACCTAGACCTATCTCTGAGCTTTACTTGTGTTTGTCTTTTTGTTCTCATACAGAAAGCTATTTTGTATATCACAGAAGACAGACATCTTTTAATTTACATGTTATTGAATGAAACACAAAGATGATTAGGAACAATGACTAGGTATGCATTTGGAAAGAGGCAGCCATACCTATTTGAAAGTACTCTCTCGAGGAAAATGAACTGCTCATTCTGCATTGCCAATACGTGGCTGAGTTTCTAACCTACTACCTCCTGAATACAAGTCTATAACATTATCATTGTATCAGTCTATTCAGTAGCAAGGATGGCTATGTCCAAGTAAATAAATGCATCTCAGTGTTCATAACCACATTTTCACACTTCTGACAAACTCTGTAGTAATATAATCCAAATATTCAATTCAAAGATTGTTGTTGTATAAGGTCCTCAGCAGTTCCACCATCATTGTATTTTCTTCAGGTCCTTCTTAAGAGTATTCTCCCCTCTATAACCTCATTTTCAAAGAAGTTGCCATTCAAGGTTGTTAAACATTTCATTTGTTGTCAGCCCCAATCATTAACTCAAGATCCATCCACACAACAATCTTTGTTTATTTCAAAATTTATGATGTGTTAAAACTACAATGCTCACATCGCATTTGAGTTTTAGTGCCTCGCTCCAAAGATGTGATGTAAATAATATTCTGGTTTTAACCCTTTTAACACCCACATATTTTGTAGTTTTGTTTTACTTTAACTTCAATTAATTTATAAGGTTCAATTTTTAACATTTAATAGTTGCATCACCTTTTGTAGTTTTGTTTTACTTTAACTTTAATTAATTTATAAGGTTTAATTTTTAACATTTAATAGTTGCATCACATACTCAATAATAGCCTTAGAAGATGATGCCAACTAGTAGGCCTAAATATGTACTAGACGAAATGATATAAATCTGGAAAGGAATAAAAGTTGTTGTGTGGAAGGATCTTGTATTGATGACTGAATCATCACATAACAATGTGCTTCTGATCAAGACTACCGTCTGCCCCCCCCCCCAATATATCTACATGTCCAGCCCATCATAGCTTTCTACACTTCAATATTCTTAGAATACTTGATAATTTGTATAAATTAGTTTTTGTTGAAAAAGTGCTATACATACTTCTCATTTCGCACTCATAACAATTCTACAATATCTCATTTGACATATGTAGACACTGTAGTTGAATCAGCATCGTTAAATACCTAGAATACACAGAAGAAACTGAAACGCATACCTGCTCTAGAAAGATTCTCCACGGACGCTGAACAGAGCGCGAACTAAGCAATACGACACACATTCATTGGTTTCAGTATTTAAATCTTGCCGTTACAAACACACACCAGAAAGCTGTGAATAATATCGTAAACAACTTTAATAGCGTCATTTAATACCACGAAATTAATGTGAATTTTATAATGCAAATAACTCAAATATGAATCATTGCTTTTTACATGACTCCTTACGAAGTTACTTTATACTTAACAATTTCGATAATTTAAATAATTATATTTAATTAAAAATGAAAGAGACAACAATATATTTAAAAATAGCATAAAACATGAATTTATCCGTGGAAAATACGAAATACATACTCGAGGCTTTGGTTTTGAATCCAGAATATTGAACAGTATCACGTTTATAACTATTTCAGACAAAATTATAAAAGTAAGGCGTCCCGCTACATGCCTATGCAGGCACTTGGGGGGAGTGAAGGTATAGCTCCTACTCTTTCTTGACCTCGGGACCAGATGGGGGTGAGTGGTCAGCATCACGCCCCTCCCGGTACCCATTGGACAGGAGGTTGGGTGGGCCCCAGAGCCGGTATGGACGCAGAGGAAAAAATCCTCTGCCCCCACGTCGGTGATCGAACTCCGATCGCCCAGCCCGTAGCTAGTCACTATACTGACTGAGCTATAGACAAAATAATCAATGTGTGAAAAAATTTATGTGTTTGTGAACATGTCACTCGTAATGAAACTAAGACTTACTGATAATTCCATGATCGAGAGGTTCCGGGTTCAAACTCGGCCTGGAGACCAGTGTTTCGTTATTTCCCCATCCCCTCCAGGCAAATGCCGGGATAATACCTTGAAAATAAAACACGACCGCTTCCGTCCACCCTTTCCAATTCGTTACTCACTATCATTCTCTCGTTCGACGCTATATAGTCTGAGCTACTGAAAAAGCGTCGTTAAATAAACTTTAAATAAATATAACTCCACGAACAGAATCATCCACAAGAAGCCACTAGTCTACATTAATTCTGCACATTTTGGGAAAACTGAACGGTCTTAACTGTATTTGGAAGAACCCACAACTGGATTCTATCCTGGGCCCAGTCCACATCCTTTTTATCCATTTAATATTGTCTTACCATCTACATCTAGTCCCTTACCTCCACTTTGTGCAACTAAAATTGTGTTCATTCCTCATGTACCCAATGTGTGCCACATGTCCAGGCCAACTCATACTCCAAGATTTGATCAGTCTGATAATTTGACAGAGTACAAATTATGAAATTTTTACGCCTTGTTAAATTAATCTATATACAGAATGGACTCTAAAATGGACGTGATTACTTTTGTCTTATTTCAGAACTGCTATACATATAAAACAATCCAAATGTCTTAAGTTATAAGCACATTTATGTATTTCTGAAAAATGTACCTAAATATGTGCATAAAATGATCTATTCAGTTTGGTTGAATCATTGCACAGACACAAATTTGAAAATTAAATCAGTATTTTATTAATATTTTAAAGAATTCTTTTACTAAAATTGATGTTGAATAGGTCCTCCACTTTCTTGGATTATGACTAGAACCATACCTTCTGTTGGTTGATGGCTGAGAAGGTGTTATGACATGATACAAGAATTCACACATTCTCGTATTTGCTGCAGTAACTCCAGGGACTGAAAGAATTTTCTGGTTTTTGCACAAGATAACAATTCACTATTGCCATTTTGTCAGAAAACAATGTTTCCACACTACCAGGTATAATAGGGGCTTTAAACTTACCTATTATTAGATGTGCCAAAAATCAATTTAAAATTATTAAAATGTCCAACAACAAAATAATATAAGAATAAATACGTTATGCATAAATAGTACTTCAGCCATATCTGCAGTGTAACTTGACTGACTGTAACAGAATGATGCTTTAACACAAGGAATATTATGAAATATCAAAAATGTTCAGACCAGAAATAGCTGATGTTTCTAACACAGGATATCATCTTTAGAGGATGGTGAGAGGAATTTAACATACCAATATTAGATATTTTCATTTATATTATTTATACCATTGTCTTCCTACAACAATATATAGGTTGAAAAACATTTTTATACACCTTTGCACAGAATTACAAATTTTTGTTTATTCTTGATGAGGTTTTGCAGTAGGAAATGCACGTTGTTCAGGCGGTGTCAGGGTTGATGGTATATCTTCACTAAGTTTCTTAGCAAGGAAGTAAATCTCAGCTAAAGCAATGATGAGCGCAAATATTACTCCAAGCAGGAGCCGGAATCCAAAATCCAAGTTGCCGACTATCAGCTCAATGCCGATGAATCCGAATGCAAATCCAGCCAGTACAGAGATAATAAATTGTAGCACGGCAATAAGCTGCTTGTTCATCTGTTTCACTGACGGAATAAAAAATATAGATATTTAGAAAATTAACATCATATTGTGTGTTCCAGTGCAACAGGGGTTCTCAACCTTTACGAGACCTGGGGGTCACATTCACTGTTTTTATCAACCCATAAATGAGCGAAATCAGTTGAAATGCCATTGCAATTTATTAAAACGAACCTATCAACTGAGGCCTATGTCCACATAATTCTCATTATTTTCCTTTCAAAAAATTGGCCATTAGTGTGAGACGTGAAGCTCCTTTTGCTACATAATCTCCCAGTATCAGATTTAATTGGTCTTACTGCATCCCTCCATATGTTCATCAGTATGATGTCATAGTTCTTGATTTGATGTTCTTAAAGCCTAAAGTCAAAGTTGCTTGCAGTGATTGCTGTTGTTCAATAATGATGATACTAACAAAAATTGTTTAGGTATCAAGAAACAATTTTTCATCAGAAAGGTTGATAGAGTAATATAAAAATCATATACAAGCTAAACAACACTTCAGTGGGTCACATGTAGCCTGCATGCCATGGGTTGCAAATGCCTGTTACACAGTACTTCAGAACAATGTAATAATATATATTATGAAAACAGGTTTGTGCCATGTCAGAAGCTTCTTCCAATATCTTGTGACCCTACCATTGGGATTCATGCCTCTGGGTGTCAACTAAGGCAATTCAGGCTTCTACCTACATGATAAGATAAAGCTAGGAACCCACATTTTACATGGAAGCATACAATGAGTAGGATTTTCATTTTATTTCTGATGACGATGGATGGCACAGACTACAGAGAAGGGCCTTGTATTCCCCATATACTAAAAGTTTCCAGTTTGTTACAGATGCTGAAAACAAATATGCTGCATCCAGCTGGTCTTAAACCTTGAGACCTTTTTTGCAAGGTAAGACAGTACCTTACCCTTATACTACTACCATGACCCCATCACTATATGGCTTTATAATAATTAAGACTTTTTATATTCTCTACAGATCACCACAAGATACCCAAGTCTACTAACAGCCTTTCAACTTATTATGCAGATCTTACCATCAGTTTAAAGTGCAAGTAATTGTTATTGTTCTGAAATGTTACAAGCAACTTCCCGGTGATTATACGGGTTGAAACTATAACAGAGGTGGAGGAAAATACAAATGTTCCATAACTTAACATCACACAACAGTTCAAGGCTTTGTGAAGTTGTGAGGTGCGAGCAGTTCAGTGTAGACTTAATATTTTGTATGGTTAGGGATCTGTGAAAAATATGCAACATTTATTAAAATTATTATTAAATGAATGAAAGTGGTCTATCTCAAGGTAGATCATAAGGGAGATCTTGGCACTGACAGAATGATAAATCTTTAAGAAATGTATTCTGAATGAATTAAATTGACCCAGAACAGGGAGTCATGTCTGATTCTGCAAACTGCAAGCACCAATGCACTCAGTAAATGTCAATGTAATTTTCTTTGAATTTATTCAAACATGTAAATGTCAGATATTATGAACCATCTAAAAGTAGTAATGTATCACAGTTCTGGGTCAACTGTATTGGTGTGCATGTCCCCAATTATTTTACTTACAGTGATATGAAATGGTCTCCTCAGGTTCATGAACTCTGAAAGTGTCCACATTCCTTGTCATCGCCTTATATTCTCTATTAGCTTGTCTGGCCTTGAGGCATTGGATTCGGGCTTCTAGTTCCTGATTTCTGGGTTCAACTTCAGGCCGAGGTAATTTCACATCACAGCCCATCAGTAAATCATGAAATGAGTTCAGTCTGTTTGTGTCATGACTCACAAAAAACTGGTGCTGAAGCCACTTGATATCATCAAGACAAAGAAGTACATCTTCACAATCTTCTTGTGTAATATTTAACTTATAGTTTTTGAC